CCACAATAGCAAACAAGAATAGCAACAATGGGTTGCCTTGGCAAAGGACTCTACTAGCCAGGAAGAAGCCCTTGGGGGAGCCATTAATGAGGATAGAGAAGACAAGATTAGATATGCATCTTCGGAACCAGCTTCTCCACTTGACCATATATGCCATGTGTCGAAGGGTGTCATCAAAGATTAACCAGTCAACAGGATCATAAGCTTTCTCCCAATCTAATTTAATCACTAGGCCCAAGGACTTAGTTATGGACTGGGTGTGGATGCACTCATGGGCGATGAGAGCCCCATCCAAGATCTGTTGATCCTTCACAAAAGCCCCTTGGGTGGGAGAAATAACTGAGGGTAGAACTGCTTTATGTCTGGAGGCCAAAACTTTGGAAAGAAGTTTGTAGGAGCTATTGACCAAACTGATGGGCCGAAAATCCTTCAATTCTTCTGCCCCTTCGGTTTTTGGAACTAGAGCAATGAAGATTGCATTTGAAGCTTTGCAAATTACCCCTCGCGAGAGGAATTCAGCAAAGAACTCGATGACGTCAAGACGAATGACCGTCCCAAAGCTTAAGTCATTAAGAGCCTGGAGGGTCTCTTCTTCATAGAACGGTCTTTCTAACCAACTCGCTTCTACCGAGCTCCAAGTGAGAAAGGCTAGATCATGCATTATGGGTCTAGGGCCAGAAGGAGGGATCAAAAGATTAGAGTAGAATGCAACAGCAGCCTGCTCGATAAGGGAGGGGTGGTCAACTATCGAATCCCAACTTTGAGGTGGGTGATAGAATTTTCCCACCTTCTACAATTGGCTATTTTGTGGAAATAGCCAGTATTAAGATCACCCGACTTCATCCACTTGACCTTGGCTCTCCGAGACTAGTATATCTCTTCTTTTTGAAGAGTGGACTGATGGTCGAACTTTGCTTTGGGTCGAAGCCCAATTTCAGAGGGTAGCAGGGGCATGGACTCCTTTATCACTTTCAACTCGTTTATAGACTGTAGCATCGAGGCCTTTTACCCATGAAATTACCGAGGTGTTGGGACGTCCAAGACATCGAAACCCCTTTCAGCAACTGGAGCTTTCTTTGGACCCTGAAAACTGCCCACCCTTGAACCAAAGGTTGGAAGGAATTCCAAAACTTGGTCACCATTTGGATGAAATTAGGTCACTCTACCCACCAAGACTCGAACCTAAAAGGCTTAAGGCCCCAGTCAACAGCTTCAGTGTCCAAGATGATAGCACGCTGGTCGGAGGTTGGTTTGGGTAACACAAAGGAATGGGTTCCTGAGAAGGTGAGATCCCAATCTAAGGAGGTTAAAAACCGATCGAGCTTAGAGACATTAGGGTTGAGAGACTGATTGGACCAAGTAAAATGGGCCCCCTCTAGAGGGATATCGATTAAATGATGCTGGAAAACAAAGTCTGAGAATTGCACCATTGCCGAAGAGATGGTTTGGTTTAAGTTGTGATCATGGGACCACCTGGTGATGGTAAAATCTCCCCCCTCCCCCCCCCCCAAGCACCAGGTGGTAGGGGAACTAAACGCAAAGGAGTGAAAATTTAATTCCGTTCAAAAAGCCAGTCTCAATCCATCAGAATTAGGACCATATACTGCAGTGCACTTCCATTGCATACCATCAGAGGTTCTTGAAAGGGAGACGGTTGCGAAAACTGGCCGAAGGCCGAGTCCAGCAAGTTGTGAAGAGAAGGGTCCCAGAGGAGCCAAATGCCACCAGAGGCACCATTATCTTCTAAAGCCAGTCAGTCACCCACAAGGTCTAAACCCCCAGATATTCCTAATTGCAGGGAGGTCAGGAGCAGGAAGTTTGATTTCAATAAGGGCTAAGAGGGAGAGAGAGAATTTTGCACATAAGTCTCGGATAGCCCTACGTTTTCGAGCTTGGCCCAAGCCTCGTATATTCCACAATAATCTTCATTGAACACCATGGGGATTAACGATACGTCGAGAGCGGCGCTTTGTTGCAGAACTAGCCGAGGATGCTAAGGCTATTGCAGAAGAGAGTGAGGGAATAGGGGGCATTCCAGAGCCATAATTGACTCCAAAAGAAAGAAGATTGGCTAGCTCTCTTTTTCCTTTCTTCATATTGAGAGATTTGGATTCCCCAATGACGAAGTCTTCAGATCCTCCCATGGGACAATTAATCTGAAGCCCATCACCTGTAAAACTTTATGAGGGTTGCCTTGGGCTCAGTCCAAGCCATCAGAATCCAAGAACACACTACCACGGGTAGCTGATCCAGAAGAAAGGGAGGACAACGATGAAGCAGATAGGCACTAAGCAAAAAATGGTGCTTTGGAGCTTGAGAAGAGCTGCTCCTAGAAGTAGGGGAAAGGAAAGAGAGGGATAAAGGGGACAAAGCGATAAAAAGGGGGGGACCAGCAAAAGGGAGTAGAGGGGAGAGAAATGGGCAAGACAAAAATGGAAGAGGGATGAGATTGGGAGGAGAGGCTGAATTCTAGACAGCAGGATCTGCCAAACGAGGTGAGGGAGGGGATGGGGATAGGCACATGGATGAGCTGTGTAGGGGTCACCGATAATAGGGGATTGGGAGCAAGACTACTCGCTAGAGGCTTCGAGCTGTCAGCCTTGTTCGCAGGGCGGAGACTCTCCTGCCTGGCAATCTGAGACCGGGGCTCCTTGGGGTGCAGGAGAGGCTTAGCCGCAGAGGGGGCCAGGCAAGAGGGCGAGGAAATTCCTCAGGAGGGGGCAGAAGAAGCGGCACCACTGCAGGGAATGGAGTTAGGGAAGTGGACGTGTGCCGGAGAAGAGCTACATGAACAGGAAGAGGGGGCCGAGAGGGAGAGACCCAACAGACTTCCAATCCACTAAAATGAACTTTCCACAGGCTTCTCCAATGCATTGGAAAGTATCTATGTTCCACGCATGAAGAGGAAGGTACGAGCGAACAGCCAGATCTTTTGCAAGACCGCTGCTCCCATCGTCTTGTTCTAGTGGGCGAGGGAAAGGGCAGTGCCATAAAAAGACTCTTTCTGGCTCCTTAAGACTTCGAGCATCTTTTCCTCTGTTGGGAAGGAGAAGAGGAAGTCCCCTGAAGAGAGCTACCTGCAAGAGAGAGACATCCCAAGTCCTAGCCGCTCACATCTGGACACCTTTGGCGTCGTTGCGTGCGGGCTGGAACCAACCAAGAAGCGAGAACCTCAAAGCTTTCTCCAGGTGAGAGGCATGACTGCCACCGACAGGGATGGAAAAAGGAGCAGAGAGGGGATGGGAGGGATACGGAGGAGGCACCTATGGCAGGGATTTATCGGGGGAAGGAGGCGAAAAGGATTGCGGTGATCGCAAAATATGAGCATACGAGGCATTTAGTTGGGATTGAAGAGGGGGCTGGTGAAAGGAATGTGGGCAGGGAGAAACAGGCAGTTGGGAAGGCGGAAGGGGGAAGAGATGAGGAGGAATCAAGAGGTTGCGGGCGAGAGGAAGGTTTCTGGGCAGCGATGAGCTTGGAGTAGGATTCGTAGGGAGAAGGGAAAGATGAGGTGGGGTTTCCTGAGGGGGAAACGCGAATGAGGGGGGTTGGGTTGAGGGTGAGGGGTGATGGTGGTGGCGGGGAGCTTGCAGCTGTGAGGGGTTATGGGGGTGACGAGGCATACCTCAACACCGGAGCAAAAACATCATTATTTCCAATAATTCCTAACCCTCCTAAACGAGTTATTGTTAATGTAATTTTAAGATGTTAAGGGTATTTCGTGCTCCTTGTGAAAACCAACTCAAAATTCAAAAGATTCCTTTTACTTTTTGAATCATGTTTGAATTTTTTAAGCAATTTAAAATTACAAATAAACCTCTAATCATAATTTTCAAACAAGTCACTGCTAATGTACATTTTAGATTTGGAAAGGTATTTTTGGTCAAAAGTTTGGGAATAGGAAATTCTAAGTTTACCATTATAGTGGCATTACTTGTGATAACCTATAGATATGCACTAGAGTGGTGTAACCTAGAATAACCGATACATATACATGCATACATACATATATTATGCATGCATGTATGTATGTATGTATGCATATGTGTACGGATTTTTGCATGTCTTGTTTATGGCTTGACTCATCTCAATTATGGGCTTGTTTAAGTTAGTGAGGTCAAGCCAAGCGAGCTCAAGCTGGGTAGCTAAAATTTGGGCAGAACTAAAGCTGGGACTTCACCAAGGCATGCCAAACTTGAACATTTAAAAGTTCAACTTGGCTCTTTGACACCCCTAAAGCGAAATGAGGTGTCAGGGTAACATAATTCCTGCTCTTGACAACGGATGTTGCAAAAGCAAAAATCTAACCATCAGCTCCAACAATAGGTTGTTTGGAAAACCTGCTGCAGATTTTCAGTCACTGGTGGCAATTTATTAAATCATAATGGGAAAATTCGCCTACCATCTGCTGTTTGAGATGAGAGTAGTAGACCAGTCTTAAACAAAGTCTTAAACACACAGAGAATCCAATTCATAAGCAAAGAACTTAGTTGATCACATCAAATTAAAATCACTAATTCCATAACGAAACTTGTTCAGAAAACCATGATATTCTTTCTAAGACATTATAACTAAAAGACATGCAAAACCTCGCGTATACTAATATAATAGCATGCAAAATGGCAAAATCTCATTAAAGGATGCATTTCAGCTCAAGTACATAAAATTGCAAAGGACATGGATACTCTGACTATACTTGGTTACAGCATGAAATTGTTACTGGTAGCACTATGAGATCAGCAAGATAAATTAAAATAGACAATCGTGGTTCGAAAGAGTCCAACTCAGATATGCACTAATTACACCCTTGTACATTAATTAGAAATTAAAATACAAGCACAGGCTCACAGATCAACATGCTCTTTTAAGAACAATATAAATTTTAATCAGAAAATGCTGTTTGTGTGCATACAAGGAAATTATCAGGGACATCCAACATATGATCGTATTAAGTTGTCCAAAGTGAGCATGTCCTAAAACAGAAGATAATGGAAACACACCTGAATATTTGGATGACCGAGTATACCAGAAGCCAGGTACTGCAAGGCCAAAATAAATATTGATTGTAGATTGATCATGGATAATATTTTAGTAGGAAACAAGCAAAAACTGAAAGCAACTTACTGGAGCAGATGGATTGGGCTGCTGTTGTGGTAACTGCTGCTGCTGCTGCCTCGGCTGGTTTTGAGGTTGTAACTGATTAGCAGGGGAAACTTGTTGTGTAGGCTGAAGAGATGACTGCACTTGAGTTTGTGGTTGTGCATGAAGCTGCTGCGACACTGTTTGCTGCTGCTGTTCAAAGGCTGCAAACTCTTCCGGTTTCTCCCACTGCAATTTCATATGGAAAGTCAAGGTGAGGGGACATATGGTAGCACAATTTAAAACAGAAAGATTGATAAATAATCTTTTCTTCTACCAATGAAGTAATCTTCAACTATTACCTTGCTCACACCGGTCACACTATTATAGTAATATTTGTAACCTTCAGGAGAGGTGTGCTCTGTCCAGTTACAAGTAGTCACAAGCACGGCCGATGATTGGGTACTAACAGGAACAGTTGGAACGGCTGATATGGCTGAAGGTGCAACTGCAGCAGTGGCAACAGCAGGTGTGCTTACCATATTTTGTGGTGCAACTCCAGTCCATGGAGACTGCAAGAACATTACATTCACAAAATGTGATCACCCAAAATGTTTGTTAAGCAACAACGAAGGCCATGGGGAATAAACGAACACAAAAAGTTATATGAAAGCATTAGAAAAAAAAGCATGAACAAGATATTCAAACCTGAGGCACCAGTTGTGCTGGCATTACCTGATAATATGACTGCAAAATTCAAGAAGCCAAAACCAATACAATCAACAGAAGTGCTCTCAAAAGTAAGAATTATAAGAACTGAAGGTATCCAGGTTAAAGCAGTCACACCTGTAGCTTTTGGGACTGGGAGGTCTGCTGCTGTAATTGACTTTGCTGCAATTGTTGCAAATGAGAGAATGCTTGCTGTTGGGAGAGAATATTTGCCTGAGAGGCAATTGCCTGATGTTGCACAAGTGCCTGATGTTGGGCTGGCGATTGTTGATTGGGCTGCACAGTTTGTGGTTGGATAGTGGAAGAAACCAACTGTTGCGGCTGGTTTACATTGAGTGCAAGAGAATGAGGTTGTAAATTAGAAGGAATGAGTGGCTGTGTTGTTGTCGGGAGATGAAGAGGCTGAGAAGCAGATAACTGAGCGCCCAATGCAAATAACTGCTGCTGTTGCAATGCATGGCTAAAGGGAAGCTGGGCAACAGATTGAGGGGATGGAAGTTGTTGGCCAAGCGGTTGCGAAGAAGTCACAGAAGTTTGGGGTTGAGATGCTGAACTCACTGGGAGTTGCAAGGAAGAAGGCAAGTGCTGCGGAGATTGAAGTGGTTTCTGCAATGGCGATTGTTGTTGTTGACCAATATGTGGTATTGGGGCCAAAGGAGGGTGGAAACCCTAGAAGAACAAAAAGAGAAGTCCAAGTGAAAATAGGCAATAAAGAAAACCCCCAGATGTAAATTATCAAAGTACATGTACTTTAATCATATAACAGTACATGTACTTTAATCATATAACACGATCAATCAATATTGCAATTACCGGCTGTGCTGTGGAGGAGCTTGTGATTGCAGGTCCCTGGAGAGAACCATTCGTTGGAGGCCCCAGGACACCCAAAGAACCAGCCTGCAGTAAATCAAGACACATTCTCTCAATAAACAAACCAATCAAGAGAATCCTCTCAACTAAGTAAAGAGCATTGTTTTAAAATGCGGCTGCATCGCTGCACATTCGACCGTATCGTGCGATATGCACTACGAGGTGCATCACAAAACAGCGCATATGCACTTTGGTGGCATGCACCGCATCCCACCGCATATGCTGCATAGCGCCTTGCAGCGCATATGCTCTCAAACAGCATGATGGAAAAAAAACCTCAAAGAGGAGTCTTTAGGTATATTTGCCCCCAAAATAGGGGGGAAAGAGGGTTTTTGGGGGTGGGGGGTGTATTAAAACCCCTAAAACAGCTAAAACGGCCACTTTCGTGGCTTTTTTTCCATCTAATCAATCAAAAAAAGGCAGATTTTTTTTTGAGATAATCTTTTGATTTTGTCTTGGTGGATCTTTGCTTGTTGATTAGGATTAGTTTGGGTGATTTGAAAAAGTTTGAGCAAAGATTTGACAACATATCGAGGGTTTCAACGGCTGAGAAGACATCGATATTGTCTTCTAAGTTATGTTGTCTTCTATAAAGTTAGTTTCAAATTTCTAATGTCTTCTATGATCTATCGAGGGATAGTGGATACAAATCTCTGGTAGCTGATACTTTTCGAGTTAATGAATAAATTAAATATCAACTTTCACATAAATTACCCCCATGTTTTTTTTCAAGCATTAAACTACTCTTTTAGATTTTTTAGAATTTTTTTTATTTATTGACTGCATCAGAGTGATGCACCCGCATCTGGACCGCATCGGCCCCCCGAGCACATCGAGACCGCATCCCACATTTTAAAACGATGGTAAAGACACATCGGAACCGCATGCCGCATATTAAAGCGATGGTAAAGAGACAAAATTTGATGGCTTGTTGATGTAATGACAACGTTCAACAATAAAATGTGTAAAAAGACATTAAAAAAATGATGCGTTGAAGTTATTGCAGATGAGGATGTTGGGAAAATACCAACCCTAGTAGTTAAATTGATCCCAAAACCATGAGAACTAACCTGAGGAGATGGCCCCATATTTTGTGGGCTCATAGGATGCCAAGCATTAGGTGGGATACGCCCTCCCAGATGGCCTCCAAGGTTAGGCATTGGCCTGCAGCAAACAAAATGGTCACCCACTTCATCTAGAAGAAAAAAAAGAAGTAAATAAAAAGACACGGTTTCAATGCGGCCAGCCAGCATATTGTAGAAATGCAGGCTTCGCAATAAATATATTTTTTAAATATAATTTGATCCTAATTTTTAGAGAATTTACAATCTTTAACATGGAGATCAAGAATATGAAAAAAAAAAATTGAAAGCT